ACACACACACATTGTTTCATAAATTGTAGATTACTTGTTCTGGTTTTTTCCATATATAATAATAGTAACTCTTCCAACAGCAATTCATGAGAAGCACAATTCTGGAATATTAAAACAGATACTAAAGTCTATTTATTCTCTTAAAGTAGGTATCCTTATCCAATCTATGTTGGCATCATTAACACAGATTTATAGAATTAAGAGACCAATTTACTAATGAGAGAAATTTGTGGGGGTTTGTCAACAAGTGCTGAAGGGCAAAATCTGTATAGATATGGATTTTCACTAGTGGGGGGTTGGAAGCTGCAAACAAACTGATCTCATCGCTCCTGGCTACTAATTAATTTTTGTTTCCACTTTGGCAAAATGGCTTTCTGTTGGTGTGTAGCTGGCTGGCTGCCTTCTGTGTGCCAATGTGTTATTCAAAATAAAATTGACCCATTCGTTCTGTTTAGGCAAGGATTTTCTTCTTCAAGTGAAATATTTTTTGTTGAACACTCTGCTATTGACAGACAACACACCTCCCGTCCCCCACATATATGTTCTAGAATATTCCCCACCCCACCCCCCATATCGTAGAAAGATACCATTGCACTGAGTCAGATCTTTGGTCCATCTGTAGGAAGCTGCAGTAAGAAGCTCAATTGATCCATGCAGTTCAGTATGGGGCAGTGGCTATTCAGGATTTAAGATAGTGATTTTTTCCAGCCCTATGCTGAGAGACCAAGGATTGAACCTGGAACATAAGATGAGCCTGCTGGATCAGCCCAGTGACCCATCTAGTCCTGCATCCTGTTCTCACAGTAGCTGAACACTGACCTGTGGGCAGCCTGCAAGCTGGACCCGAGCGTAACAGCCCTCTACTTACTTGTGATTGCCAGCAACTGATATCCAGAGGCATACTGCCTCTGACAGTGGAGGTAGGGAATAGCCATTGTGGCTAGTAGCCATTGATAGTCTTATTCTCCATGAACCTGTCTGATCCTCTTTTTAAGTCATCCACAGTGGTGACCATCACTGCCCCCTGTGGGAGCAAGATCTGTAGTTTAACTACAGGCAACAACTGATTTTCACACATTCAGTACGTTTGCATGCAAGATGACCTGAAAGTGGCTGAAAAAGGGGGCGGAGTAGGCTTACTCTGAATCAAAAAATCAGCAAAAAACTAAAAATAAACCAAGCATTAGATCACAGTTTGGGGAAAGGTGCCTGTAAATAATGGGCAGTAGTCCTTCTCAGCATAGATCCATTGATGATAATGGACATAACTAATTTAGATTCCTTAATTTCTATGGGATTACTCTGCATAAGATTTAGTTCATTGCAATCCTGTATGTATATCCCAATGCTGTTCTATTTACCCAGAAGGTATTGCCACTTAGTTCAATGATGCCGACTTGCAGGTCAATATGCCACAATGGTGCTAACTCCTGGGTAAGTAAGTTTGCCTTTGAGAAGCGCTGGATAATAAATAAAAAGAATTGTGACTCTCAAAGTGACATTTGGGAAAGAAGGAACCTTCACATACGAAGTGAAGGTTGTGCCTCAGCCTTTACAAACAGCCAAGGTTGTTTATAACTCAAACATTTCAAGCCCTCAAAATTGCCTGTGTGCTGTAGTTCTTAACCTTTCACAGATTTTTTGGACACAAGAATGGCTCCGAGGAGTTCATACATGTGTTTCAAATGTAATGTGAGGAGTGACCCTGAAACTATGAGGTGTGTGATTACTTACCTATTATGAGCAGAACTAATGTTCTTTCTATTAAGCAAATAATTTAATTTAATTTGGATGTCCCTATTACAACAAAAATAAGTGAGGGGCGAGGGAGAGAGAGGGGAGTAGTAGATTTTTTTGGGGGGAGGAGGGGTTAAACAAGACCTTTGCCCCAGCGTATGGTTCATAAAAGTTTGGATGTGTTTCTCTCAGAAATACTTCTTACGAGACTCTTAACCCCAGAATAAAATGTGCATCAATAAATCCCAGTTAATTTGTTTTTTACCAAAGCCTGTTAAATGCCACTTATAGTTCAAGTTTTTTTGGATGGCAGGCCTGAAAGAAGAAATGCCAGTGAGCTGTTGCAATCATGGAAAACGTGATTACGCCATTCCCTCTATGTTCTGCCAACAGCTGACACTGTAAAACTGCAGATAACCTTAACTTTCATGTTAGAGGAATGTGACTGATAGGTGTGACAACCCCTTGGGTTTTCTTGACTTGAGTCAAATGACCAGCTGCTTCATGCTACTTGCAAAGCCTGTGGGGTGCCTGAGTTCTCATTTCTCTTGCCAACTGCTTGCCCCTCCACCATCTCTTAGGAAAACTTTAAGCCCTTGATATTCAAGATGGGATGTGTGCCTCTGTCACGAAGATGGAGAACTTCAGGCCAGGCCTGAGAACTCACCCCAGGCCAAACCCCTTCTCTTCAGGCAACTGCCCTTGGGTGTTTTTGCCTGGCTGGTACATGTCCTTGGATTCTGGTAATGCCTCTCTCCTGCCTGGATGGAGAATCGAAAGGGCTATGTGTAGAAATTAGCCTACTATACATCGCTATCATTTACATTCCTTGTGTTGCTGGCTTTTGCCTCTTGCCCCACTCACAGCTGGGATGTGGCTTTCAGAAGCTTGCCCAGAAAGGAATACCACACTTAGACTCCTCTATAAAGTAAAGACAATTGCTAGGAGGAATGTGGCCTCCTCACAGCCACCTCTACGAGGAGAATGGTGGTTCACTCATTGGGTCAAGGACACATTAATACTCACTTATCATGACAAATCAGTATGAAGGATGTAGCTAGATGGGCAATGTTCCCAATTGTTGACTCCACCGATCCATTCTGCAACTTGTGTCATTCTCTGCAGAGCCTCTGACAAAAATAAATCTGGCCAAGGGAAATGATATGTCAGGGAGCATATCATGTTGCTGCCTGATCCAGAGTGATGTGGTAGGGCAGCTTTTAGTTTCAGAACCTGCAATATAAATTATAGGGCCAGTTCAGCCTTGCAGTCCTGCCTTGGTTCCCTAACAATGTACAGTCATACATTAGATCTCAAATGCCTTGGCTCCCGAACAAATCAGTCCCCGAACTATCAAAACCCGGAAGTGAGTGTTCTGGTTTTTGAATGATTTTCGGAATCTGAATGTCTGGCTTCTGTGGCTTCCGATTGGCTGCAGGACACTCCTGCAGCCAATCAGAAGCAGCGCCTTCATTTTGAATGGTTCCGGCAGTCGAATGGACTCCCACAACACATTCTGTTCGAGAACAAAGGTATGACTGTACGGGTAAAAAGATTCGAAGAGGATCAATTTCTCCTGCACCTCTGAAAAGGTGTTCCAGGAACTCTAAAGGTGCAGCAGCAGAGCTAGCAGCTCTGGCACCCAGAGCGGCACACATGCCATGCACCTGGGGGTGGGGTGATCCACCCATGAGGCTAATTGGCACATTGGCGACCTGCCCGGGTGGGGGGAGGCGATCGGCGTGGCAGCTATCCATCCAAGGGGGATTTTGACACACACACCGCCTCTGGGGTGAACCGCCCCCTTCCTACGCCTCTGTCAAGGTGGTAGGGAAGGTGGTATGAGGGTGCTGTGGGAGTGGGGAGATCAAAAGTTCTATGACTTTCTTTTCTTTTAGCAGAGTTGGTTTTTTTGCTAGGTCAAAGACTCTTCCACAAATTGAAAGCAGAATAAATTTGTTTGATATGCTCTTTGCAACAGATTGACCTGACCCAATGATCCCCCTCAGACCACACATTTCTTTGGCTTTTGCAATGAAATTTAAGGGCGCAAAAACTGCCCCCCCCCAAAAAAAATACTGCACTGAAAATACTGGAAACTATGCATTTTACATAAAAAGCTAAGAACTGATAGGATCAGGCCAATGACCTATCTAGTCCAGCTTCATGTTCTCACAGTGGCCAAGCAGATGCTTGTGGGATATCCCAAAAGCAGAACCCAAGCGCATGAGCACTCTCCCCTTCTGTGGTTTCCAGCCAGTGGCAGACTTTTGGCTCTCAATTTCAGCGGCACACTGTCCAACATTAAAAGTCAGTGCCTTTTTTTTTTTTTTATTTATTTATTTATTGCATTAGCCGAGTGGCCATAGCATGACATACATTGAAATAACAACATAAAATGGGGGTGGGGAGGTAGAGGTAGACATCGTCCTGGGCGAATACTTAAAGAAAGTGGGGGAAAAAAAGAAAAAAAAAAAGCTGCTGAGGCTGGAGGAGGACCGTTAAAGGGTCCTTCAGCTCCTCAGATTAGTCCTAACTCGATTGTCCTTGTACAATAAGGCTACTTGGAACTTCGTTCGGTTGTGCGGCGTATCGACTGCATCTGTGGTGTTAAGGAAGAAGTTAGTGCCGCTTTCCTCTTCATCACACTAAGCAGGAAATTAGCTGTCATCTCAGTAATCCAACAATCAGAATCCTGCAAAAAGAGGGACACTATCCAAGGCTGGATTGGGAGATGGAACTTATTCACGAGGGGAGTTAAAAACCGAGATCTTTCATCTGTCCAGTTGGGACAGAAGAGCATTACATGTTCCATAGTCTCCAGGGCCGTGTCATTACAGGAGCATGTTCTGTTTGCGATGGGAACTCTGGAATAACGACCCGACAGAACTGCTGTAGGAAAACAGTTGAGACGGGCACAGGTAAAAGCCCTTCGCTTAGTCTCCGAAGAAATTGTGAAGCAGTATAGAGGGATCCCTTCAGGGGGTGGAATAGCTAGGGCTAGGCCTGAACACGGTCCTCTTGCACAAGAAGCTGTGTTGGAGAAGTCAAGTTGCTGTAGTTTCTTTTTAATTAGGGGTAGGGCCACCGGGCTGATACACTCTAAGTTAAGAACAGTTTTACAATTCAGATTGAGAAGAGAGCGGAATTTGAGGTTAATTGTAGTTTTCCAAGGGGAATTATGAATATCTCTTAGGATCAGATTGGAAAAGCCACCTCTAATTCGAGCATCCGATGCTAATAGGTGGAGGGTGTAGGAAATGGCTCGGCTCCATGCTCGTCTAGCAATTGAAGGCTGGGCGAACTCGAGTCGTAGGGCTGCACCTGAGACACATCTCGGGACGCCGGAAAGAGATCTCAGAAACATATGAAGTGGACGATCCAGGTTACCTGATATTGCTGTAGTCCATACTTCACATCCATATAATAATTTAGGGACGACTTTGGCATTAAATATTTGAATTGCTGCTGGAAGGTGTTTGCCGCCCTTCTGGTGGTAAAATCGGACAATGGCGTTAGAGGTCGTGGTTGCAGCGAGAAAGGCAGATTGTAGATGGGTGGTCCAGGAGAGATTATAGGTGAATATTAATCCTAAATATTTAAAGGCTTTTACCTTTTCTAAGTAGCCACCTGTGATCTTAAGCGGCTCCAACTTGAGTTTGCGGGAACGAGTGAAGTGGAGGACTTTCGATTTTTATAATTAATATTAAGAGCTTCCGCCTTACAATAGGCGATAAATGCATTAACTGCATTTGCTAGATCCGCAGCTGTTCTGGATAAGATGACGGCATCATCAGCATAGAAAAGGGAAGCAACGGGGTGGCCTGCTAAGTGAGGAGGATACTTAGATGCTAGCTTCAAAGTGGAAATTGCATCATGAAGATAGAGATTAAACAGTAAAGGGGCCAAGAGGCAACCTTGTCGGACGCCCTTGGCCGTTGGAAATGGAGTAGTGGGGGAGCCGTTTGGACTAGTTCGGACGCGAGCTGTGGTGTTTGAATAAAGGGAGATAATTAGGGAGAGAAGGTGCGGATCAATTCCCAGATGGGCAAGTTTGGACCATAATCTCTGCCTAGGAATGGAATCAAAGGCGGCCTCCAGGTCCATGAAAGCGGCAAATAGGTGGCCTTGCCTTGGAGCAGTGTATTTACTGGCAAGGTGAAAGAGAGTTAGACAATGGTCCATGGTTGACGCTGACTTTCGGAAACCAATCTGTTCTAGCGGTAGAATGTTCCTCTCCTGGACCCATGAGAGAAGTTCCTCCAGTAAAACAGCGGCAAATATTTTCCCCGGGATGGATAATAAGCTGATGGGGCGATAGTTCCTAGGGATGTTTGGCTGGCCGCCTTTGAAGATCGGAACTATTATAGCTTCTCTCCAGGAGTCGGGGATGTCTAGGGCGGAGGAGATAGCGGTGAATACAGGAGTCAGGTGTTCGCTCCACCAAAGAGGATCAGTCAGGAAAAGGTCCAACGGGACCATGTCTGGGCCGGGGGCCTTATTCCTTTGCATTGACATTATGATGTTGAAAATGCGAGTTGAAGTAAAGTTTATTGAAGAAGTGGGACTAAGAGAGCAGGAACTGAGGTCCAATGGGGATTGAAGGAGATCTGTAAGATGGTTTGGAGAAGCGAAACTAGTTGAATAATAAGCAATCCATTCATCCGCGGAAATCTGGGTAGCTGGATTGAATGGTGCCGAAGGTCTAACTAGGCGCCAGAAGGAGCGGGAGTCATGCCTCTCTACAGCCGAACGAAGAGTGGACCAAGCCTCAAAGATGTACTGCTGTTTCTTGCAATGAATCATGTTTCTATATGTCCTTTTAATATCTATGAGCTTTGCACGGGTTTGGGGGTCGTTGGAAGATTTGATGATTCTGACCATTTTCCTAATTCGCCTTCTTAGGGCTTTACATTCCTTGTCAAACCAGGGCGATTCAGAGAAGAGGCGTTGGTAAGTAGGCGAGGTGGTGGTTATGTAAGTTGTTGAGAAAGCATCAAGTAATTTCCGGTATTGGTCAGCGGGCAGGATTGGATCAGAGGGAACTGCAGACATATCAAATGATTTTTGTATGTCCAGGGCAAGAGAGGAGCTGAGGCTTGTCCATTTCTTTGTTTTGTATACAGGGTGGCTTTGTACCATGGTTCTATAGTTTGAGGAGACTGGGAGTGGCTCTATTAGGTTTAACATTAGAGTCAATGGAAGGTGGTCACCACCAAAATATTCAGCCACTTCCATTTTTGTAGAAATTGAGAATAGCTCCGGCGTCAATAAAATGTAGTCGACAACACTGGTTCCCCGGGAAGTGATGCACGTTAATTGCTGCGAGGACAAGGGAGTAATGTTACCATTTGCGATGCAGAGATCGTTTTCCATGGCCAGTTGGGCCATCAGCCTCCCGACGCATTTGTTATAGGATCAAGAGAGCATCTGTTTCCCCAGGGGGGCTGCAGGGGATTGTCCAGGAGTGCTGCGGGAGATATTATATCATCGTCGTTGGGACCTATTCTTGCATTAAAGTCGCCTAAGAGGATTTGAGGGAGTCCTGGGTTAGTTGTTTGGAGATCATGGAGCCAAGACGAAAGTTCAGACCACCTTTCATTGCGGTCGAAATCATTAATTGCTGGGGGCAGATATACTGTAGTTATCAACCATGGGCTTTTGGTCTTTGGGAGATGAATCTTTATGGTGAGAAAGTAAGGGGAAGATTTAATTTCCTCGCAAATAGTGAGGGGTAAGCTGGTTGAAATAAGACAGGCGAGGCCAACTTGGGGGCGACCCCTGTTGGTTAGTTTACGAGCACAGGAGCTAAAGGAGCAATAATTTGGGAGAACAATACTTTGTTGGGACCAGGTCTCTTGGAGGCATACAATGTCGAAAGAAGAGATGAGATTCATTGCTTCAGGATCCATTTGCTTTGTCGCCCAGCCGTTAACATTCCAGGAGACAATTTTAAGGCTCTGGGGTAGGTTGGGTGCGTCTTTCAAGGAAACAACTGCTTTTGCTTGATTTGTGAGTGAGGGTTGAGTCTGTTCGTATCTAATGATATCGGATTTCCGCGGAGATAGGGAGCCGGCTGGTGTTTGTCTCTGGTCTAATCTTTGTCAATTATTTCCCAAGGTGCTTTTAGGGATTACTTTTTATGAGCCGGCCCATTGCTCTCCATACATGGCAAACTAGCCAAATGTTCTATAGTTTCGGCTGTTAACTGTTGAATACTGACATTAGTGGTCACCGGGCCTTTGAAGTGTGTTATCTCTTTCCGTAGGTGTTTTTCCGGAACCTGATTGTGGCCTAATTCCGCCTCATCTAGATACCTCAGCTTGTCCCAAGAGCCTGGTGAATTCACCTTCGGGATGGTTCTCTTTATTGGAGGTGGTGTAGTGTTCTCTTCAGTGTGCTGGGCTTCCTTAATTGGGAGTAAATTAATCTCAGCCATTGTCTGAAGGTAACATGGCCGACAGGCCGCTGGGTTTGGTTCTTGTGTAGGGTTCAAATTATAGGAAGTCTGGTCCTTTTAAGGGCGTCCATATTGATTTCCTTGTTTGTATCTCTCCCAGCCAGCTTAATTCTTAGCATATCCAATCTTTCTAATATTTCAGCTTGTATTGGAGATGGAAAATGGCGAAATTGCCTAATTAAGGTATTTTCTTCCGCGGAAAAAAGATCCTCATCTTCATTCTCTTGAAGTTGCAGGTCTTGCAGGTGGGCATCTTTCCTTTTTAATTTTTGAAGCTCTCGTTTCTGGAGACCAGGCCGGGTTTTGGGAGGTTGTTTCTCCTTACTAGGGTTTGCGTGCTTGGCTTCCAGAAGGGGATTCGGTGGTGCCTTGTTTTCAAAAAATCTGAGAATTTTTATCTGGGCCTTTAAGAATATATATCTTGATCTGTAGATAAACTTGGCCAGGTTCTGGTCTCTAAATGTGATCATTGCTCTCATTGAACAACCATCATGATGCAAATAATCTACAGAAATAATGTCATATGGCTTTACTGCTCCTGGCAATATATCATTCAGAACGTTCAAGGAGCTCATTCTTCGTTCTTTCCCTGTAAGGAAGCCCTTTGATTTTGGGAAGTTTGTAAATACTAATATTGAGGGATTTAAAATCAGGTTCCAACATCTTGCCTGAATAAAGGTTTGCCCATCTTGTATAGTGTTGTCATCGCGATTGGGCATTGCATCGTCCCCATTTCCCGATTTGCTAAGCGGTTTGCTGCCTTCATTGTTAGGGACCACTTCTCCCCCAGAATCTGGTTCGCTGAGTGAACTGTTACCAGAACTCTGGGACGTTGCTTCCGTCCTCCCACTTAGTTCTGAATTCTGGTTCAGAGATGCCACCTTAGCCATTAGCTTTGGCGATGGCTTCTTTTTCCCCTTCCTGCCATTCTCTTTTATCTCGTGCAGCAGATTTATTTGAGTCCAATGGGAGTAGATTAAATAATTTCTGCCATTGTTTATGTCGGCTTATCTTTATTTTCCTTGTTGTTTTAATGTTCTTAGTTTTCTTTTCCCGGACTTTTGATCTATTTTTTTGCAATTTCTTGGTTGTTACTGCTTGTCTCATCTTCACTAGTTCATCTGGGTTATGCACAAGTTCATCTGGTTTATGCACTTGGGGTGCATCGGTTGCTGTTGTCTCTTTTGGTTGGGGAATAAAATTTTCCACAAGGGTCAGCAATAACCCATTTGTTATTGTCAAGTAATTGTTTTATGTTGGAAAGGTCTATATTTATATCTTGGAAATGGGCCTGAAGATGGCCATCACTCAGTTCAGTTTGAGTATATTTGGAAGTGGGCGCCTGGTCTTGGTGGCATGTTGTTAATTCTGCCAGGGGCCGCTGGTTATAGGTGACAGAAATATTTTCCACAGGTTTCTCAGCTAGAACTAGCTCTTGCGCCAGGCTTCTTGGGGAATTTGTGTTTCCAGAGTTGTGTTGAAGCTCTTTGAAGTAATGTGACCGGTCAAGGTAAGTAAGGGGAGAGGAGTGACTTCGTCAATAATTGGTTCAATTTGTTCACTCATGCATTCCTCCCTCTTGGGGAAGTAATTTATAATTTTACTTTGTCTCTTTCCAGGTCCCGGGGGGCTAAGTGGCGTATCTGGCAAGATACCCAACTCCTTACACAACTTTCTAGTGAGGACCATGTTGGATAGTTGTCTTCCTATTAGAAAACCAGTTGTCCCCCAGTGTTTCTGCCTAATTAGCAGGGCCAATGGATGAGTAGGGATGAATCTGCAGCTTTCTCCTGCTTAGCTCATCAGCGAGCGCTGGCTCTCAGTATGTTTCCCTGGTGGAGCCCTCTCCTTTCCAGTGACGGGGAATCCCTTCACGGCAGGGGAGTCAACCAGACCTCTTCCCTTCCCCACTCACTCGTCTCAGAAGATTACTCAGCTCCTCAGCACCAAATGCACAGCGGGGGGTGCGGCAAGGCAGCAAGGCTGAAGCACGAAGCAGGTAATAAAACAATAAAGCAATAAAAGCCCAGAGGGGTTAAAAGAAACTACTTAGAACTACTTGAAACTTAGTCTAAAAACAATAAAACAATAAAAACCCAGAGGGGGGTTAAAATAACTACTTAAAACTACTTAAAACTTAATCTAAAGGCAGACGCCTTTACTAAGCCGCTACCTTCGTCGCCATTTTGTGATATTTTGGCGTGACTTGCCGCCTCTCATGCTCCATTCTACAGCATTGTTATGGCATCCCCTGAAACTGTACCAGTCATGCAGTGGAGTCATGCAGTGGAGGCAGAGCGTAGCCAACTTAGCTAGCAGCCACTGACAGCCTTTTCCTCCATGAATTCATCAAATCCTTTTTTCAAGCCATCCAAGTTGGTGGCCATCACTGCCATTATGTAAGAAGTACACACAAAATGTTCACAAAAATCCTCCACATGTGCTGCTGCTGCAGATAGAGATTGCCATAGTTATTCTTTTGAGCCAGTAACTATTTCAGTCTATGTTGAAGGTGATTTCTCATTGTATATTTTGTGCTCAGCTTCAGATGCCTGTTTACCAAATGCACACGCCCTCTCAGAGCATTCGAAAGGTGCCTTCGTATAAAATTTGATCAAATGGAAGATGCAAGTGGGAAAGGATTAGAGCATTGCTTCTGAGTTGTCTAGAGGGACATTCGCTAAATTCCACATGCACATTCCTTTTACGGGTCAAATACATTTTGTACCTTATTCATCAAGAATGTATAGGGAGAATTGAACCACCATGCTAATCAGCAGTAGATACTCGTTAATGGGTCACCCAGCAGCCTGAAAATATAGACTTGTTGCTTTGCTTTTGGAAAAAGAATTGAACCACACCAAGCCCGTATTCTCTAGAGAAAATAATAATAATAATAAAATATATGTGAATGTTACAGCAAATTATATGGTTGTCACAAATGAAATATCATCAGCTTGCTCAGTAAACAGGATTACTGAAAGTACTGGAGGGGAGAAAGGAGATGAGGGAAAGGAAAAAAAAAATAAGCAATGCCTTTTCTTCAGTGTTTTGGCATATGATCAACTGCATTTGGTCCTCAGATGATTTTAAAAAAATAAAAAATAAAAACAAATTATGTAGTCTGCTTCTGGGGGCTTCAAATTATGAGACCCAGCTGACAAGCTGGAAAAAGAGCTGAAGTAGCCCCAGAAAAGTTCTGTGCTGCTCCAGTTTTGTGCAGGATGCAACCGTAGACCTATTAATACATATTCACTTCACTGGCCATTCAGTATGAATTTGGAGCATGTAGATGCTTTTGAATGGACAGCAGCATCAAGACCCTGTGAAGGTGTGAAACTCTAAGCTAGATTCCATGCTGAATATAGTGCTTCTGTTTTCCTCCCTCCTCTTGCTTTAGTGCCAAAATGTTTCCGCTGTCCTTTTGAAACAGGGCTTCCTTATTTTCTTAAAATTAATTCTCATACTGTGTAGAATCATCATAAAGGAATCACATTCAAACACGGAACCAAAACTAATGAATTTCTTTTGTGCAGTCTCATGTATCCGTGAAAAGCAACATTGTTCCAGAATAGTAACCATATTTCTTTACAGCAGTGAGAAAGCAAAACAACAGAATGCCCCTAAACTAAACAGAAATGTAGTGTTGTGAAAATTGAATGAATTATTGTAGCGATTGCTATAGGTAACAGCCTACTTCTTCAAATGCATGAAATAATTTGCTGCTTGTCTCTGGCTCACTAAATGTTGAATAGAACTCTACTCTTAGTTTACGTTGGTGGATAAAGGAAGTAAAAGGTGAAAGGAGGGTTAACAGTGAAGAGAATGCTACTGGAAGGAGCGGGGACCAAGTCCACTGCTTTCTTCAATAATACTAAAATGATATTATGTGATATTATAACTGGATCCATAGCTGGCCTGCTCCCAATTAGCTACCTTGTTCTCAGTTGGCAAAACTGGATAGGCTATACTCCAGAATATACTCCTCCAACTGTTTTTGCGAAATGTGTATGTGGTGGTGGGGGAAATCATCAAAACTTTGACTGAAGATTATTTTAGGAGAAGTTTCAACTGAGTTCTAGAAATAATCAATGTAACCATTGGTGCTGCTATATTTATTTTGAGTTCAGATGAATCCCATCTCCTTGGTTTTGAGGTCTTTTGAGGTCTTAGTGGTTTTTGCTTCTGTGGTCAGATCCACAGCATACATTTAATGCACATCCTTCGCACCCAAGAATCTTGGGAACTTTAGTTCAGCCCTCGCAGAATGACAATTTCCATCGCCCTTAACAAATTAAAGTACCAGGATTCTTTGGGTGAAATCATGTGGTTTAAATGCATGGTGTGGATGGGACCCACTGGTAATATGTGAACAATGGGGGCCAATGTGAACACATGCTGTTCCAGTGTCCCACTTTCCAGGGGGCAACTTTTTCTAGAAATTAAACACTATCTCCATAACCTACATGATTGTCAGATTGTACATGTTTCAAACACATATCTAGATGATTATTTTAAAAGAAACACCTTACGACAGGTAACCATGTTGGAATCAAACAACAGACACAGTGATTTTAATCCTGGTTAGGATTAAAGGGGGGGGGGGACCCGATCCATTTACTCTAATGCTGACTGATGAAAAATTGTTCTCACTGACTAAAAATGGCCCCTACAATTAGCCAGCTAACATTTTCATTTGCTTAATTAATTGACTAAGGCTTGCAGCTGTAGCTCCTGAACTTCAGATTCTCAGAGGCAAGTGGTGGGGCACTTTGCACAGAGGGGTTGTGTTCGCTGGCTCTGGGTTACTGGGCTGCTTCCTCCCACCAAAACCTAGATCTAACCCTTTCACGCAGTCTGGGGGGATGAAGAGAGGGAGAAAGAACATACCAGGAATGCCTTTTCCCCTACTCTTCCTTCTTTCTCGCTCTGCAAAACATCTGCTAAGACCTCATTCATCACAGTGATAGCTGTGAATGAATAGCTGTGTAATACCCCAAGGTCTTGTCTGCTGTGGTGGTGTGACGCCTAACCTCTTCTCCGTTAAAGGGACGGCTACATGTACTTTTGTCAACCTGTCAGCAGGCACTTCTCTCCTGATACTGTTTGTTCAACCCTCCAGACAATGTCGACCTTCTGCAAATGCTTCATTTTGAAGAAAGCTCTGGATAAGAGTTTTATGAGCATGAATTCTTATACCATCCCACTGTAGCCAAATGTATGTATGGGGTTGTGTGTGTGCTGGGGGGCAAGGAGGTCTCCAAATATTATTTTGCATAATTAGACCTTGGGCTTTGCTAAATGACCAGAAATCTGAGCCATATCTTCACACACACACACACACACACACACACACACAGAGTTCTTAGAACATTTAGGACAAAAGCTGATTCACTTTAAAAATTCACTTCTCTGTGATGACACCTTTCCTGTGGAACCACCTGCCACTTCAGCTGATGTTCTAGGCACCTCTTGAAGACATGTGGATGCTCCCAGGTTCTGCTCTGCAAAGTTAGCCTTGTCTCCCATTGCCAACATGGTCACTGCCCCTTCTGATGGCAGCCACAGCAGAACAGCTTCCCTGTGCTGAGTGCCGTTGAGCTCAAGTCCTCCTTCCAGGCTCCCCACAACCAGACCAACCTCTCTGGTTGGTCACTGTAAAAACAGGATGATAGACTAGATGAGCCATTGGCCAGAATCAGCAGGCTCTCCTTATCATCTTATGCTGTCTGTGCATTCATCTGGATTGGGAAAAGTCTCTAAGTACATAATGCTATATGTGTTCAGCAGTCGCTACACGTGTGAGGAGACCCTGGTTCATCCATGTCTCCCATTCTATGAAGCAACTGTATGCACATACATCAGAAAATATGCTGAGCTGTTTCTCATACCAGTCAAATGGGAGGGATGACAGAGAAGCATTACCATGGTGAGCATTGGTAGCAACTACAACATGCATCAGTTATAAAGCATGGAATGTTATAAGGCTCTGGAACCCCCACTTTGTTTTGCCATGGTGCGTTTAATCAGCTCTGGTCATTGAATTGCAGTCCATGTTTTGATATGTGGGCCTTTATCAATTTCTTTTTGTTCCACAGCCGCTCTTTCATATGAGTAACAGTGTGTAGATGTGCATCAATTCTTGATGTTCAGCAAGATCCTCTGAGCATTATCCGTCAAATGCAGCTCCTGCTCCTGCTAGGGGAGGTTACAGTGGAATGGCATCCACATTTGTCAATTTACTCCATTTCTAATAGAAAGAAAATATGCTGATACAGGTAACTGCAGGGGGAAATTCTTACATGAGTAAATGAATGTATCGTATTTATCTTATGTAGACGCAGCCTGCCTTCCAGGGACAGAATCACTCTTACATGTTATGAATAACCTGCTTTTTGTGACATGCCTGCCACAAGAGCTACATTTCAGATTTCCTCTGTCATGTTTCTCGCAAGATGACAATTTTATACTCTAATATGATCTCCTGGCAGGACGGATTAGTGTACAGCATCTCAACCCCCAATGAATAAGCAGCGCTACTGTCTGGTAAAGCAGGAAATAAATGTGGAAGAAACACCAGCCTCTTCAGAGTTAAATTCACAATGTGTGATCTTAGCCTTCATCCACATCTAAAGTACTATTGTACCATTTTAACAGTCATGGGGAATCATGGGCGCTGTAATTCACTAAGGGTGCTGACCTCGCAGAGCTGCAGGTTCCAGCATCCTTAAAATGTAGGTAAAGAGCTCAAAAGTCATGTTAAAAGTTCAGCAGCTGCTGACACTTAGCAGTTCTTCTGCATGCAAGCACATACAACATGTCAGCATCGGAAGGCAGGACTAGACCTTAGGGCAAAGGGCAGCTTATAATTAAAAATAAAAATAATAGCAATGAGTTATCTATAGAGTTCCCAGGAGTCTCTATGACTGTTAAAGT